GCTGGCAGCTCAAAGGGCCCCAACATCTGGCCCACATCTGGCTGCCCACCACCGGATCCAATCAGGACCCCCCCCCCCCCCCCCCTGGGATGGGCAGAGTAAACTTTGGATTGCCTCGTTAGTTCTTGACTAAAGTTGTGGACATTGGATCCTGAAATAATCATTTTGAGGCTCAAACTGGAAAGAGAACCATCAAAAACTGTGTTCAGACTCAGGATCCTGGTTGTCATGGAGGTGGATCTTAGGGAGGACTCCGTCGCGGAGATTCCTGAAAAAGGTTTATTTTAACAAAAACGCACTCGAAAGAGTGGATGACAGGACAAGGTTCCAAAACAAGGCTGTGGCAAAAACTATGATCGAAGTATCAAAGAAAGAGTAAACAAGGCTATGGCAAGATTAACAAAACTGTGTTATAAAACATGGCTATGACAAAAATGTGGCTATGGTACAAAACAAGACTATGGCAGTAAAGTAAACAAGGCTGTGACAAAATCAAAGACGAAAAGACGCAACTGGGGGACGGCCCCCACAGCTACAAAACCCTAACCCACTCAGGGGGTTTCCGTCAGGGCTCCCGAGCCCCGATTGGCCAGGAGGTCACATGGTCTGATGTCAGGTAAACAATGAATGTGCGACTTCATTATTTCTGTTCCTATAATCACTGTAAATGCCAGAAGTTGTAATGGAAAACCAGTAAAATGATTTATTATTTAGGATGTAGAAATGCTTTAGTCTCTGAATGGTTTTGTTGGGTAATATCAAAAATGTTCATGATTAATAAATCAATAAATCGGTTGCTCAGCACTTATTTTGTTGTTTTTAGGCCATTTTAATTAGCTGGAGACCTTTGGCTTTAGTGTGAGGGAGTCTGCATCAGTCTGAAAACGGCAGATTAGTCCTGAAAACCGCCTTAAAGGGTTACAGAATAAATGAGAAACGGCAGCTAAAAAAGGCTGGACCATGTTGGAGGTCAGTATTTCACAGAAGGGAGCTGATTGAGGACAACATCAGATTACAGTGTGCAGCA